CATTGACTGAGAATTTCTTTAATATCGATAAACGATACATGTGTTCCTTTAATAGAGAAATGCTTATTCTTATATTTCATAACTCTAATCAAACTAAAACTTTTACTTTCAAGAAGTTCTTTTTATTTTTTATCGTCGAAGTTTTCAATGTGACAACGTTTTTTAAAAAAAAGTTCGGCTGTTTATGTTTTGGATAAAATGTATTAAAAAGTTCTCTAAATAAGATAATACATAAATTGATTTGATGAGACATAAAGTGATTCGTCGTTTGCATAACACTCTGTATAATGTTAAAACATGTGAGTAAAATAATCAAAGCCATGATAGATTTTTCTAGTTGAACAATGACTTTGTGTATATATTTTTCCCTGGAGCTGGTTATTAAACGAATTACTATTTATTTATTATATTAGGACAAGTGTTTATATTGTTGTTACATGTAATATTATTCGGTGAAGATGGTAAAAGATGTTGAGACTTGTAACGATTAATGAGTTCCATAGGCAGAAACAGTAACATATTGGGTGCGTGTTAATAAAAATCATTAATCGATTTTTTTTAAGTATACATTACAAAATACTTGTATGAACAAATTGTGTTATTAAGAGAGTCTTTTCAGTGTGACTTGAACTGATGCTCAAAATTTCCTCTTCGCGTGCTAATATTACTTAATGAAAAAAAAAGAAACGAGATTACCTCTGGGAACCGCGAGTGCGTGATAAAAAGAAAAAAGATTATTATGTGTTATCTCATTGACGCCTTTTGATAAAATGCATTTTATTTCGGTTGTGAAACTAAAAGAAATCGTTTTAAATTCAATTGTTATGCGCATATCTGCGACGGTGAAATGTTTCCTTCCTGCTCGATACTATCAAGTTATGAACTGTATGTTTTTGAATATAAACAATAAATTCGCGTATTGAGTGTTGTAAAAGCGAATGAATGTACGAGCCCTGTTTGCACACGGGCTCGGAGAGTGTAAAGTTTCGGCTATAAAATAGCAAACTTTTATATGGACACGAGTGGATGTGTGCGCGCGCGTGTGTTCGTGTTAAAATTCTCTTTCTACAAGTTGTAGATCAAGAACAAAAGAGAAATTAGGATTTAAACAGTCGGCTATGCAACTCACTGAATCGACAAAGAACCATAAGATGAGGAATTAATTTAGACTTAGCCAATAATTCTTGGTTTTGATTCGTTTTTTCGTCTTTAAGAATAACATATTATGCATATAGTAATTGCGATTTTATTATTATTTCGATAATGTAACTAAACAGTGCAGTAATCTGCGAATCAGAGCATTAAGTTAGTTTTTTTTTTACAAACGATGGGAAATGTTATTTCTATCGTACTTTTCTTTATTGATACTGTTGTACAGTATTTAATTTTTAATATTGCCATTGTGCAAAAGCGAATTAAATGATAGAGATTGAGAGAGAACAGCACGATTTTTTATTTTTATTATATCTGAATCAGAAAGTTAATAATCAAAAAGATTTCTCACTTAACATGAGTCCAAACGTGACACGAATTAAACCTCAGATATAAAATTGTGAAATGTGAAATTCAAAACCAAGCTCTCACAAATGAGATAATGTATGTCCAGCTCTTTAATGAGCTAACCCAACCATATCATGTTTAAATCTAGTTTAACAACAAATGTGTTATTAATCAAATGGCAATGCTTTAACATTACAGAGTGATGAAAGTGTGACAGTAACCGAAGGGACACTGTGCTTCATTACCCGGTTTAATGTGTTCCAATATTTCTATGTTTGCAGCATATCCTCGTTTGCGAAACGCAGTAAAATGAACACTTTTGAGGAAGTGCAATATGTGCAGTGTGTATGTTATTATTATATAACTTATGGAAACATGCGATATTGAAACTAAATTTTCAACTTTTGCTTAACACATCTTCATTATTATAAACCGATTGAAAATTTCGAATACTTCTTTACTTCCTTTATTCTTCTGAATAGCAGTTAGTTCTGAATAGTTTTATAGAATTCAGAACAATCATGGAATCGAGTTTTCAATCAAATGAACTATGTTAAGCGATTTTACATTCGGTTCAGTGAGCGATGTACGCCTTCGATGTTTAAAATCTTTTTCGAGCGTTTCGTATATATGTATTTGTTATAAGCTCATGTATATTTATTTAATGCATCAGCAACAATTACGTCTGCGAATTGTTAACAGGATTCAGATTTTCATAGTATTTTCATTCATACCTGTGTACATATCACTATCAAGCGAAAACTATCTTGCATTATTTCCCTTTCTGTTTCGGAAAGTACTGTACATATATGCATTTTCTTATTCATATAGTAAACGTATTTTGGAAAATATATTGAATTAGAGAAGTTCAACGTAAGGAGATCGGGAAAGAGGCTTACGATCTTTATTTTTATAAATAAAAACTATTTGATTGATATTCTACATTGCACGAAATTAGGGACAAGCCTTCAAGATTTCAATTTAACGTGTTCGACTCTTCAGATTTGACATTTCAATTGATCGAAGTAACGACAATGTAACAAGTTAGTGATCTAAAGTTATGAGTAGTTATACTCAGTTTTGTGTACTTGGGATATTCAAAGGGAAGTCCAATATCGATGTAAGTCAATAAAAATTGCGTGTTAAAACTAAGCACTGTTAAATTAATCTTGTCTGGAAGTTCTAAAGTGTGACACTTGCTCGACTTGGTAAAAATGTATTATATGTTTAATTTTATACATCGAGAATCGATTATGCTTGGTATCTGTGAACGAAATTACACAGGTATTTTATGCATTAATTTGATCAAATTGCTCGGCGCACCATTTGAACGTCACGGAAATTTGAGTCCTGTGCGCTCTGTGTTTTTGTTATTTACTATATCATAAGATAAGGCTACGGCAGTATCGTCTAGTAATTTCATGATTACCAGTTACACACCAAAGTGTATTTACAGCAACTAAACAGACTTATTTCCTCTAGTAGCTATGTAAAACTAACGCAAATGTACTAACGTTTGCACCGCCGTCGAAATATCGACGCGATTAAGCATATCTATGACTAAGTCGCTACACACAAACGATTTCCTTTCCATTGACTAAATGAGATATCTCGTTTGCTCTGTATGACATTCAGAAAGTGTCGGACAACGATACCATTCCGATACCTTGGAAAGGAGAAACGTTTCTCGAGATTGTAAGGTTGCTCAAAATCATCGAAGCGCAATAGTTTTTAGCCGCCTCGTGCATGTTCGATTTGAAAAGAAAATTTTGTGTTCTCTTTTTACACGCGACAATACATATTGACAATGAAAATTTGTCACTCCATTCAAACCCTTTAGCTATCACACTGAATCTTTTAACCCTTTGAGGCTCGATGAGTTTAAACATTTTTTAAATAATCATAATGACGACAGAAATTGAATAATTTTGAGTGGTGGCAGGTAGCTTGAAAGGGTTAAAATGTTGCCGTGGTGACCCTCGTTTAAACCGTTATAATATAGTTGGAGTTCTCGAACTACGCTTACCGGGTTGATTTTGACCTATCTTTTTGAAGACTTGGTCGAACTTCTTAACTTCTGGCGGCTAATTTCAGTTGTCGTTTATGTTGGTTATGATGAAACTGGTCTAAGCTATAAATTTAAAAAGATTTGTCTCTTATTTTCTGCTGTATTGATTGATATTATAATTATGCGGAATTATTTTTGCAAAGTAGCGAGAAATGTTAATGTCTTAAAGTCACCGCTTTATGAAACGCCATAGAAGTCGAAAGCCAAAAATTAGTTCTTTGCTCATTGATAGATGAACATAAAACAATTCCGTAAAGAAAAAGATAATTTATTATCGTATTATTGTAAATCTGTTCTACGCGGTACCTTTCAGTAGAACGCATGTAGTAGTGATCATCTAAGTCAATAGCCGTTGTGTGCATTTCAACTTACTACAGCCTGTTTTTTTAAAGAAGGTTTTGACTTTCAATTTTTCTATTTAACCATATTGTAGTTATTCATAGAAAAAAATATACTCTTGAAATATCAAAACCAAAGAATTCAGTCTCAAAATGTTGCCGTTAAATTTCTGTGCTGCAATGTAACATTGAAGTGATAGGAGTACTTCAGGTGTCTTGTCTCAAGAGAAAAAAGGTCACAGTATGTTTTCTTTTTTTCTTTTTGTTTTTATCTTTAAATATTTTGATTACTTATTTAACCACCAACTGCATAAATGCTGTCCATAGGTGTTGGAAAAAATTACATATGTATATCCAATCCTTACTTCTTGAAGTCCCAGTCTTGTTGTAACATACTATCATTCTTCTTCTCAATCTGCACAGTTCCTTTTAATAAGACATTGTCTAATGAATTGGCGAAGCAGCCTTGAACCACTGAATCCTTCTTCAAGATCATCTTAGGTTCCGATCAATTTTATAGTTTACTGACCAAAAATACCATCACTTGTGTCGTTCAGGTTACTTTGATCCGATTATATTAACTGAATATTTCTATTGAAGTAAAATGAAACAAAAATGATTTAGGCGTAAGATTAACCCATTTGTGTCTTGACTTGAATACTTTCAATGAATGTTAATAAAACTTCGAAATAAACGGAAGGATTGATTATGAAATTAGTGAACGCTTTGATTTTTCATTTCGATTGTTAAACAGTGTCTGCAATGATATTCTAAATATCTTAAAACAAAAAATATATGACTTAGACCACTTTCATTGATTTATAATAGGCCTAACAGAGAGATACTGATTTGTTGTCATCGATTTGTTCGACTTCGTTGAACTCGACGAAGAATGTTCTTAAACCAGTGGTTTTCAAACTTTCCCGATCGGCATTCTTAAGATTATAAACTTTTTCTTCGGAATAGTATTTGTGGAGTATTTGGACCTCATTGAGAAGACATCAATGCCGTGTACAATGTCTGTGGAGAATGAAAAGAAAATCATTATTTCATTATACTTTCTTTTTATTGACCAGCTTTCATACAAGAGTTGATTAGCATTAATTATTAACTCATTCATCGTTGCTACATATGTAAGTTCAGTGAAAGGGATATGTTTGCATTTTTGGACAGAGATTGTTGAAGTCAGGCTCTATTGGTGACGTCTGTAAGCGCATTTCATATTTGGCATCCAGTCTATTTCTCTATTTTGCATTCACAAATACAGCTTGACTTTATAATAATATCTACCAACAGATGTTTATACAAACAAAGCAAACTGTTCTGCGAAAGTCCTTTGAAATTTTAATTTCGACACGCGGAACACAGTTTGAAGACCACTGTCCTAAACTATATCTGAATGGTACTAAATATCGCTGCCTATGAAGTCGTCGAAACTGTCCGCTGTCCGATGGTTGAGATTCTCTTCTTCGCTTTCTTCGCTTGATTTTTCGACAACTATTTACGCAATAACAAATGCTAATGTTCAATAGGCTATTCGGTACAAGTATAGCTCACTATGAAGCAGCAGATAACGGCAGTACTGCTAGCACACGCCATTTCGTGCGTTCAGCGGCTGAGCTATTCGTAGATCGATGATGGCTAAGGCAGCAAGCTCTGTCGTAGCTAAAGGGTGAACTGAAATACTTACAATCTTGCAATGCTGAAAGATACGTGTGTTCGACGACGGTAAACCAGCATACTTTCCTCGGGTGTTTTCTGTCGTGTCGTCGAGTGGCCATGGAGGTATATCAGTTGGTCAAGTTACACGGAATACTCTGTAAACGTGAAAGGAAGATGAGGGAGCACGGAAACTAAGTCTGACAAAGGTACAAAGCCAAGTCTGAAGTGAGATAAAAATAAAACTAAGCTCGCGACCTATGATCGCACGTAGATCGTTCAGAAATATGTTTCCGAGTTTTATTGCTCTCGCGTCGTATTTATACCACAGATCATGTACATGTTTTCTGCACCGACATTGACAGTAAGATGGTTGTAAATCGTGCACCGTTGTTGTTCATTCGTCGCTTACGAATGAGCAGTGAAATCATATGATACACCAAACGCTAACCGCTGTATCTGCAAATTAAGCTCGTTGTCGCTTGCCAGTATTGCTCTCTTCTGTATTCTCGCATAATTCTCATTCATGACAGCAATCATTAAAAGTTTTTACAAGTGTGACTTGCCTGTGTGTCACATTACCGATCATGACCCGCCCGTTCACGCGTCTCCTCGCCTTGTGCCATCCAGGCACCGGTGTCCGTCCATTCCGAGGCAGAGTATCGCCAGGTATCCTGAAACCTTCTGCCGTGTGAAATCTCCGAAATGTATTATATATGATCAGAATTGGGGAAAAAGGGAATACTAGAGGTTCAGGTGAAATTATACTTTCAACGGAAACCGAAATTTTAGCAAATTTTGGGCGAAGGTTCATGCATTTTATATTTTGGATATAACGCGAGTTTTTATTTCTCTACAACTTGTAATTCGATGTATTTTGTTTCAAATATGGGATTACGAATAAAACACAATTGGTCAAATTAAAAAGTAGAACCCCGATTTTCTGGTCTAATTCGAATATTCGGATAACATAACAACAGTACAATAAATAGTGTTATTTTTAGATATATTTACATGTGCAGCGTATTTGAATAATTACAAAATTCGGACACCAGAGTTCAGATAATCGAGGTTTTACTGTATTAAGCGAAAACAAGCGAAAACTACGGGAGAATATTTTGTGCATTCTTGAGGTGCTTATGGGAGTCAATCATTTGTTCACAATATGCATTTTAAATATTCTTTGACAATAATCTTTTTATTATTCTTCATTTGAGGAAACTTGTTATCGAAAAATTGACTTGTTTCTTGTATATTGTAGCTGAATTCTTAAAAGAGATAACATTTCACTTAGCACTGATTAATGATTATTTTTCGAAAGAATAGAATCGAAATGCACCGACGACTGTAGTGGAAAAAAAATTTTCAGTAGTAATAAGAATCTTATTAGTGAATCAGTAAATTTCCCTCACTAGTGTAATTTCATAATCTACAGGATAAGTACCGATAATCATACAGGGTGGGCAATTGAAGGTTCCTTGTAAAAAAAACACTTTAAATGTTAAAAGTCCAATCTTGTCGGGGAAGAAAAAACTACGCTAACTTCAAATTATTTCAAAAATTTGATCTGTTCATAAAGTAGGCTTGAATGTCTTGAAAACTTTTTATCTTTTGCATTGACGTGTTACAAAAGTATTGTTACTTGTAGAAACCGTTGTAAAGTAGTCTAAAGTAGTCTACGTGTTCGAATAACTTGCACAGAAAATTGAAAATACATTTTGTCAATCAATAACAATGTTATAACAACCCAAGTAAATTGTTATAAAATTAGTAATATTAAGTGTCCATATATTCTACTATATTCTACAGAAATGGTACCAGAGGTACCAGCGGCATAATCTTTTAGCATTATTGTTAACTATCTACAAAAGGAAATAGCACTAAAATTCTATACTACGGTATCACCATTGGCATGTGGAACATTTTTCAATTTTGCACTTACAGTGTTTTTTGTAAGGGTTCTTCAAATGTTGGGACTGTCGGTGGATTTCAGGTGTTGTCGTTTGAAAAGCAGATTATAGTTATCTTCAGGATCGTGTACTAACCGGCTGTGCCTCCAAAATAAAGACCACGTCGTCCAGAAAGTAATACGCCTGGCCTAGGTCGCCCTCGCAAAGGTAGGGCAGTTTGCTCCATGCGAGACACCTCAGGCCGAGTGGGGCGAACACCCTGTCGACCAAGCTGGCGATCTGACCCTCTAAACCGTTCCCTTTCACTGGTAAATATTCTGACGGTTTGTGATCAGCCCTTTCTCCGACCTCTACGTACGGAGTGAACGGTAGGACAAGAGCCACCACTAAACGACCACCAGGAGCCAGGGACATTTTCAAACGTCTCAACAGCGTGTTCGGTCTATCGCAACGATCCAACAGATTTAGGCAGAGTATCACGTTGAAAGGACCCGCTTCGTGCCATTTTTCTACATCGAGCACCCTGGAAAAGTGAAGTAACATAAATACAGTGAACGACGAAAATATTCGGACACCTATTAAAATCCAATTACTTTTTTCAAATTGGACCGAATTACTCAAATCTTTGTATTGAAAGACTTAAGAACTTCCAGATTTCTTACACTTATTGATCGCCAAGTCGCGAGAAACAACGATATCGATATGCGATAACAACGTCAATCGATTTGAATGTAATTTTTAGCATGCGTATAAGTTATCTAAAAAACACATTGTTTATATTTCTGTTATAGGCGAATTTTCGTTGATCAACCGAGATTGAGATTTCTGGTCCAATTGTAAATTTCGTTTGATATTAAATATATAATAAATAAATAATATTATATACAGTAAATTATATATAAATATTATATATATAATAAATAAATGATATTAAAACTTCAAATTTCGTTAAGAAGAGTCATGCAACAATAAAGCTGGACTTATAGTAAAGCTTGTACTTTTACTGAGCATCGTTAACTTTTTGGAAAACGTTTTTGTATGATATAATTAAACGAAGAGGAACTGTATTTTATATTTGACAGACACTGATAACCTATTTCTATCATAAGATACTTTCTAGAAAGTAAATTGAATTTGTTCCTCATTCTGGTTTTCGTTGAATAATATATAGCAATTGGAATTTCCACAGTTTCCCCGCAGTCTAATAATAAACCTTTTAAGTAAACACAGACAGGAAGCTTCATCTTCTCTCGTTCAATATTGTTTCACGCCAAACGATCAAGAACGAAGCGCGAGTAAAACATAACTCACGTAAATTTTCGTTTTGCCAACGCCCATCTCATTGGCGCTGATATGTCTGTAGCATAAACTTTTTCGAACAAGTGTGCAACGTGTGCGGTTGTGGCACCATCGCCCGCGCCCAAGTCTATTAAAGAGTTCCATGGCCCTGAGAAGCGACTTGTGTCCATTAGCTTTTGGAATTGTTCACAGGAAAACACGTGCATGGAACCACGACCCAACAATCTGCAAGACAAATTTTATTATGCATCTTTAATAATAAACTGCGGTAGTAAAGTGTGGTTCGAATGGGATTACCACATTTCTACAACTACAGAGACTTTTATGCGAAATATCTCTGAACCATGGAAAGTGGCAATCTCTTTTATAGATTTCGAAGTCCACCTAGTTTCGATCGTTCGTGTATTTCATTATATTAATCAAAATATTATATTAACACTTTTCATTTTTATCTCCCATACACGCGTGACAATCAAATCAAACTGATCGCACTGCGAAGATTTGAACACGCGGACGAAGTATACTAATCGGACTGCGAATTTTATATAATATTATTTTAATAAGTCGCGAGTAACGTATCGATATTCTTCAATTCGTTTTGATTTCTTTTTCGTTCCAAATTTTGTAAATCCATAAAATCTGCGGTCGAATTCAGCTATTTAATGAAATGAAAGTTGGGTCACGATGACTTTGGAAATCTTAGGTTTAGTTTACGCGATACGAACATCCCAATGTAACTTAATCGAAAATCAACTGTTCTCGTGTTAATTCCGTGAAATATAACGTTTGCCTGTCGTTGGACAAAAATAAAGCTGCATATGTTGGGACATATTTGCGGATGCGAAATAGACTAACGTGTATTCGGTGTTCTACACACTTTGCAACAGTATTATGGAAGAAGGAGAGAATGATATGAGCCGTTTATTTTGAAAGTGGCATAAGTCACTTTGTTTTTAAGTCGATACATTTAAGGGTTTGCGTTTTAACACGTTTAAAAATATGGATGCTAACTTTCGAGAAGATTTACTTGTATTTGTTATCTCAGGATACTGATATTTTTCTCAGTATAAATAATTTCGTATAAACATTAAAAAATCACCACTTTCCATTACGGTAAAGTGACTTATGCCACTTTCAAAATAAACGGCTCATATACGTAATAAACCAGATTTCAGATTTTATGCATTCATCACAAAAACGAGCGCACGAAATGTAAACCAGTGAAAATGTTTAAAGAATTCAAAGATACTGTTGTATTATGTCTAACGCATTAAAATGATTAAGGAAAGAAATAAATGTCCACAGTGTTCTAGCATCTTGCAATGCAGACAATTTTTATTTTACATAAAAGTCTGTAGTCGAATAATAACAATCCGTTGCATTCAGTGCATCCTACCTTGTTCTAGAGATAAGGTTGTAGGATTGTTTTAGATGGTTCTCTTAATCTGTCGCGTTTTATTGTCAATTAACCCTGTATGGGCCGAATTTTTTTCTTAAATATAAAAAAATTTATGCAACGGGAAATCTATTATTATAAACCTATATATGCTAATTAAAAAAATATTTAACAGTTTAAACAACTTTATTATAATTAATTCAATTTGTAACTTTGAAGTACCGTTGTCTGGTAAATGGTACAGGAGGATCTTCATCGGATTAAGAATCTAATAAAGAATCTTCGGATCTATTACCGCTAATGGGTCTAACTCTAATTCCTCTTTTATTTTTATATGATTTTTTATCCATATTTTGGGTATTTGATATATAAATTTGAAAATAGAAGAAAGCATAACTATCATCCTAAATACACTCAAATCTACCACAATATCCCAATGTAACCTGAAAATTACAAAACTGTATCATATACAAATAGTAACAAAATGATTATTAAAATGCAAATAAATAAATTGTTATTGATATACGAACCCAGAGCTACTATATACGCTTTTTTTTTATTTAGTAAACACCGACAAAAGCACAAATAATCTCAACTGCTCAAAATGGTCCCTTTGATTTCTATCTGCAGACAACTTGCAAGGTATTTATTTTGACATTTCAGGTTGATGGTGCTGCCAACCGTCATCAATATTGTTATTGGTTATTTCAGAGGCATTATATAATTAAGACGTATACATCATCTTGTGAAAAAAACTAAAACTATTTGGTAAAATGTGGATATATTATATTAGCTTGTGACTTGAAAGTTACATGGGCCTATAGAGGGTTAATAACGATACGAGCACCATATTCTTGCACACGATGAATATTGATTTTGCTTCATACAATATCGTTTGAATTGTTGTCATTGTCACAGTAAAATCATACGAAGCCATGAAGTTGTGTTCATGGAACCGTAGGACATCTTGAACGCTGTCGCATGAACATTTCAAGAGCCTAATTTTCGTTCTAAGCATCCGAAGTTCGGCTACTAATTACGCATGATTACGTGATGCTATCGTCGAGGACACGGTCTCTGTCGGGCCCGCGCGCGTCGCGTCGAATTTAAGCACTCGTTAATTCATTGAATCGTTTGGGAACCAAGGCTGAATGTGAAGCGGCGACACGAATAAATCGATGTAACGGTAACACATATTTCTACATCTCATTGTGCGAGCCGTCGAAAGCTCGATCGGACTCGAGGTGGACGAGAAGACAGCCGTATACGGAATCGAGCGACAAGCAAAGGCCCGGCCCTTCTAGAAATTCTATGACGGCGGAGAGGAAGTCTTCCTGGCCGATGCGATGGCGGGTCTCACGAGGAAAAAGGGGTGGGTTCATTTGAAAATACCGGGGCCGCCGCAAAAGCGGCGCGCGGCCGCGGCGATCCATCAATGCCGCGAAACGCGGGATTTTGATCGTAAATTCGGTTACCCCCGGCGTTATAAATAAGGCGATGGTGGTCTCGTGGACCCTTCTCCGGGGACCCACCTCGATTTTCTCTCTATCCTTTTCTGCGCTCGGCCATGGCCGGTGCCATCAATTAACGAGCACCTCCTGGCTTCCATTGAATAATCAATAAAAATAAAAAAGAACACGCGGCAGGAGGAGGAGACGAACAAGAGGAAAAAGAGGCAGATACGAAACAGGAAAGAAGCGAAATCCGCAGGAAGGGATGAATAGAAAAAGAGGAAGTGGCCTGGTTGCTGAATATTTCGTGACAACTTATAGTTTCGCCCGTCCACCCTCTCGTTCTTAATAGGACCCGTTCCCCAAACGGTGTTCCTATTTTATCGGTCGAACGTTTCAACCACGCTCTAATACTGCAACGCTCGGCGTTAAACAATAGATATCTGGAAACAGGACACAAAACCAATATCTTCGTTAGGGATTGTAAAAACCCTTGGGTCGATAACCAAAATTGACGACGTTGTTCTATAATCGAGGTACTCGACTACACCCTTATGATGAGCTGCCATATTTTACGTTACTGTTTTATATAACTTCTATATAATTGTATAAACATCTGTTTTTATTTACTTCATATTTATTGCCGCAATAAAATATTATCTTCATTCATTATCTGAAGAATTTCTCCTCGTTCCTACACCCCCTATCCTCTTCTCCTATAAGGATACCCTGGTACCCTGGTTATTGAACAAACGTTTATAAAACATTTATCATACAATTTTAGTACTTTTTTTGATAAAAAAAATTGTAACGAAAAATATTTTCGTGAGAATGTGCAAGAGGGTGTCCGGTTATTGACACAAGGGTTAGATGAATTGATTATGGTTTACCGGAATTGCTGGTATTGCGGACGCGAATTACCGGTAAAATTGTGGGAGTTTTGGCCATTTACCGGTAACGCAATCCCTAATCATTACCCTAATCGTTCTCGCACTCCTTTGCCGCGTCCGCCACCTCTAAGCTCGGTGTTCCGGTGGCAGTTTCTATCATCATTGTGGTGGTCTTTGCGCGAGTCTTTTTCGCAGTCGTTGTCGCAGAAGACAAAGAGGAAAACAAATAAAAGGGAACGGAAGGGGTAGAGCGCGAAAGAGAAAATGAAAGAGGAGGGAGCAGAAAGGGAGGAGTTGGACGGAGGGGAGGGGGAGGCAGATACACATACGATATACACGCGTGCAGGTCACAAATCTGGCTTGCGGATCGTAGCGGCTTCGTCGGCGGCGCGAGCGACAATTAATTCACCGCTTTTGCTCTCGGCTTCTCTTCTTCGGGGCCCCATTGTATGTACGTACTCGTTCCCTCCCTCCCTCCGCCGTTCCAGTGTTTCTCCCCACGAATCGTTCCGGGCCCATCGGTGCTTCCAACGTCGCCCTGTTTTATCGAACGATACCAATCCCTCTTTGGTTCCCCTCTTCTCCCCCTTCTTCGTTTTTCTTGTTTTTCTCTTCTGCGACTTCGTCGGGGGCCCCGTACCTTCCGAAGCCGCGTCTTCAATTTCGATACCCTGGCGTCACGCGGTCTAGAGGACTCGGTTGCGCGCGGCTGCAGCGTTGCCAGCTTCTCGAACTTCGTTTTGTGTCTGATCGTGTTCCGGTTCTTTGCGAATCATGGTTTTTTTTTTTTAATAATATCCATAACATTTCTATCGGAGATAGCAGATAATTAGATCATACGGTGCAACTTTAGTATCGTTCATGTTTTCAAATGTTGGCGATGGTAAGAGCATTGTTAAATATTTCATTCCAGTGAAATTTGGTCGAAGTTGCTTCTACACGTGAAACAATATAATCGGGAAAGAATATGTTCAAATCTTAAATACTTTGACGAAAGAAAGATTACCTTTTGTTACGTAAATGTGTTGTTACGTAAATATAAAATAAAATGTCCTTAAAGTGTTAATTACGAGACAGATCGATTATTAACGACGCCGACTCATTCAACTCTAAATGTAATTCTCTTGTCACACGGCATTAGTATGCCTACGAAAAATTTTTTAAATCAGAATTATTCCGACAATTTATATAATTAAACAGAGATCGTACACTCATCACTAAAAGTATTAGGACACCTTTTTATTTAATATAAATTGTAGTTTTTCATTCAGTTTACGTAATGTCTTATGGCACCATATTGTCGAAAGTATACATTAAGTTGTAAGTGTTTGTCGCTTATGCGATTAGTTTTCCCATTTATTGCATTCTGTTCATCGAAAACGTATGCTGAGCTCATTTCACACTCCCCGCTCGGTAAGACATGTGTCATTTCTCGATGTGTTTTCTAAATATGTGAAACATAGTACGGAATACATGGAACTAAATAGG